AACCCTAAACCCCAATTAATGTGTTCAGTGTTTATACAGTTGGGCTCGATCCCCATATCCGACAGACCCCACGGTAAATAATAACAATCCTTTATCTAGGGTGAACTCTGTCAAATATCTTGGTAACCATAGCAATGTTCACTGGTCAACTAACATCCACAACTGCATTGGTAAACTGTGGCGTCTATCATTTCAAATACGAAAGCTCGGGCAGTTTCGCGCATCCCAGTCAATTATTTCTACCTTTGTTCATTAATGTGTTTTCCCCCATCTTTATTGCTCCCCAGTTATTTTTCCTGCCTTACTCAAACAGGACTTCAGTCATACGCCGCGGTCTAACCATTAGTAGTCGTCTTTTCTATTCCTGTGAATGAGTTAGCTTTAAAGTTTTCGGAGTACCACTTCTTATGTGAATTTTTCGGAGGATTCGCACAGATCCTGAGCACCTATTGCACGCAGAACTGACACGTCGTTCTCATCATCCAACAGGCTCCCAATTCCATCAAATTTCATCCCGAATTAACACAAACCGCAACTCACCCATACCGCATTTTGCTCGTCTAGTCATAAACAAAGAGCGGACAACAAGTGAACTTTGTCTTAACCTTGGATTATGAAATGTTTCTGTCTGTAAAAAATTTTCTCACAGTTTATTATGTACATTGTGACGGTTAGCGTGCATGATTTTTAACTAAAATGTGAGCTCCAGCACTTGTAAGTTATATACAGTTCAATACTCTCACTCTGCTCTGTACTCCAATCCACCTGTCCCCTTTCATTGTTGTTGCGTTGGCACCATGCTTGTCTACAAGCCGGTGGTATATATATATATAATATGAATTCGCCTCTATCCTCTTCTTTAATTAGCTCCAAGATTCCCGTCTTCATTCCGCTCTCATCCAAATGGGCGGCCAAAAGACAACCAAAACCAGCGCATGAAAGTGTATGGTTGATGATTGGAAAAACTGAAACTGCTCCTAAATTAGGAAAAAACTACGAAGTGTCTTGGGGGCAAATGGAGCCCGATCTTGAAAGGCCTCGGCCTATTCGGCAATGGCCCCCACCAAAACAGGACAAATCTCAAGGACGCGTGGTGAGACTGTTTTTCATATTATTTCTACTGGATACCACGTTTTTCAGACTAAATCTATGCACCCATCATCGTACAGTGAAAGGCAGTGAAGCGAACATCATTGATCGCTACCACTCGTAAATTTCGCCGTTCGATTGCATACTTACGTTAAGGCAGTTGCGCTATCATGTATATCAATCGTTCGACCCACCTACGCGAATTGTGGTCGTTTGTTCTAAATACCAACTGCGTTACCGTCGCTCTTCCAACCTACCCGGACTCTATCCATGTGTACGAATTCAACAATGATACTTGTAGTTGGATGTATGAACATACCAGCTGGAAACATCACTGGAAAGTGACACGCACAGAGGAACAAACGAGAAACAATCCAACTTTGTGTTTGTTCGTTACACTTGCTAGTGATCTGATTGGCCCAACGTTTCGCTCCCCCTGGTCACGTGATCTGGTGGATGAGGTGGACGAGGATCAATCGGATATCGATCTCACACAACCGAGAATATGGAGTCCGCCGGTTCGAAAAAGATATCGATTGGGATGCCTAGGTTTGGTGTATTCTTTTCGGTCGCGTCAAATCGATATGCAACCAAATGGTTTTCAACTGTCTCTGCTTCGTCGTCAAGAAGGGTGATTTAATAAACCGATGGGCATGTTTATCCATAGTGCAGTTCAGATATTTCACACTTTTGTAACTTGGAAAGCAATTATCGAAGTTATTCAAACTGAATCTAACGGACTTGTCATAAGAGGCCTTATTTCTTTAGGTATTAACGGTATCAACCGATTTATTGTAATCATAAAACTTGATTACAGCCATACATTTCATTGAGACTTCTACAAGGCATTTATTCTTCTCTCTTGCTTGCAGCACATCTGTACCAAACTTTCTTTACATTGGAGGGACATTTTGTATCGATTTCACCAACCATATTTTGTTTTCCCGCAGCTAACTTGACTCCCAAACCGGTCTATTATTGTCCATTCTCTAATGGACTACGTGGCTCGACAAATGATCTGAACAATTGGCGTCATCGCTAGGTGCTATAAGACGAGGTCGAGAATCGGATGTGTTGCCTCTCGTCCAAATCAACTGAATCGAATTCTCCGGCATCAGACACTACTGCACTCCCCGTGGCTCATACCCAATCCACCAGTAATCGGTCGAATATGCATAGCACAATACAGTCACGATTATGGAGTCCGGCATTTCCTATCGACCTGAAATTACGAAGTTTGCAATTTAATTTTCACGTGAACGGGAGCCTAAAGCAAGGCTCTGATGCAAATCGGGTCGAAAGACTGAGTCTGGCTCTGCTCCAGCGTCGAGAAGGGTAAAATATGTAACAGATACTTTGAGTTTGGTTACTACTCAAGGTCCACAAAGCTAAATTTTAATTTTTAGTTTAGTCTGTCAACTCGACAGCTGTTTGCCCAACATCTGCACATTCCCCCCACACTTCAACTATTCTTGAACCGAAACGGCTCCACAGATGCACATTCACGACGGACACTTGCGGTTGGACGAATGACCCAAACAGCTTCAGGGTTGGGAACCAGTGCAACCCACTCACTCTGGTAAGTCTCTTGGTGCTATTGCCCAGAACCAAATCACTTCATCTGTTCTCTGTCTCTCCTCTCGTCAAATCGATTCGGGCCCCCGTAGATACGACGTGCATCATCCGAACGTGGAGTGGCAGCACCCATTCAGTCCACCAATAATGGTCAACGCATTGAGCTGTCTGACTTTTGTCTATCGCATTGGGCCGAGTTTCGGTACCGATCAAAGACAGTATCACAGCGATCAGAGGAAAAAAGACAGCATCACTTACAGGTTTTCTTTGGCACTGCTACGTCGCCAGGCTGGGCAATGAGGATTTTGACAGTTGTTTGCGGGTTGCTGTTTCCTAATACTCCCTCCTATGCGCCATTCATCTTCCAGTATCCTGCTATTTCTGATCAGAATTATGGAGTTTTATTTCTTCATTTCAGTGGTCCTAAAAACGGATATTCCGTGCTTTCTTGGTGAATATTCTCATCAACTAATCAACAAAGAAAAACTGAATAGAAACGGTTATCCTTCTGGTCTCTTCAGTGTGATATTTCCAGTTAAAGCAACCTGGTTGCTGAGGTATCAATGCACCCTCGAGAACATGCGGAGGTTGTGAGTTGTTTCCTTTCTAGACATGAATTCTACAAGTCACTGCATCCCTTATTAACTATGGTGACTGATTATTTTCTCGACGAAAAAATAAACAGGAACTGAATTGTCTCGAAGTGAGCTCGTGTCCTGAGGCCATCCGGTTTCTTCTTTTCTTCGTATAATTAGCATATTTATTCTGGGATTCAAATTCATTCCGATACCTGTCCTTCATAGCCGTTCTCGCTTCTGCTACATTTTTAATGGATTCTGGGGCACACCGGGAGCATCTGAAATTCATGGTCTAGATCGGCACAGTTGGAGCAGAATAATTTCTTCGTCGACGCTCCCACCTCGTCAGATGATCTGAATAAAGCTGAGGAAACCTATTCCATTTCTGCGGCGGAAATAACTGGCCCCTTCAGTTGAATCTTTTCTTTAACCTCCATAGTGCACGGTCTGTCTACTCTGCACCTTGACGTGGTGTGATGGCTTTTGCACCTCTGTGGCCCAACGAGCTACACACGATGGCTTTTGTTTCGCCGAAGATCTAATCATGCCTGGAAAGTCGAACGAAGTCCAGTCTCCTGGTTTTCCAGGTTGGGGGTTCCACTAGAATTTGCGTTTCACTCGGTAAAAAATGGTGGAGAAATAATTGACCCAAGTAAATAGGCCTCCACTTCGCTTCACCTGCTGCCTTGCGGCTAGGTTCTTGTCACAACTACAGGATTTGGTTGAGAACCCAAATCGTTCTTCTGCTTAGTGGCTGGACACCCTAGCAGTACCCGTCCACCAAACCCCAATGCGAGTTTGGCAGCGATCAGTGAAGCTTGCTTTTCTGTATTTCGTAGTATGATGATGATGATGACTCATGGGCAACAAGTGAATCTTTCGCCCGATGACCGTCAAATTATCCTTCGAAGGTCTCAAGAGAGTTAGATGCCGTTATAACCACTATCAATTCGAAGATCCCTTTTGTGATTGAAACAGGTGCGATTTCTGTTACCCTTGTGCCGAATTGCCGACATGTGTCGTTATTTCTTGAACTCCCTGGAGTTATGAAAAACATTATTCTGTTGAGAAAGAAGCCAGTACAATCGTGGAAGCCATTCGGAAGAACATATTTCCTCATTGGTTCAGATTATAGACTCACTACGGACCAGAAGTGGGTGACTTTCATGTTAGACCCAGGATATCAAGTTAAAAATAGTAAAATTCAACGATAGATGATTGAATTATTCTGTTAGGCTTTGATGTCATTTATCGCTGAGGTTCAGCGTTTCAGCCGCTGTGTTCTCCCGTGGATTTTGCTCGGTTTATACATCGCACGTGTCACTCAGAGAATTTCATGACTCTATGTCATCCGGACATTGTGCGTATACTTACCTACTTTACTGCGGCTGGCTCCTTAGAAAAAATAAACCAGCTTCAGACATGGTCATGACCATGAAGTTCCTAGGGATTTTGTTACAAGAGACGTCCCCAGCGTCACTCGGCGTTTTTTTTTATTTTGAGGGTACACCTCTAGCGTTCGCACAACCAAGTGCGAACTGCAAGGCAGCATGAAGTAATCCCATGTCTCGAAAGTGAGGGGGTCAATGACTCTAGTTCTAAAAGGCCAGTTACATCGACCTTTGTCACGACACCGTCATTGGGCTTATGCGGCTTTTAAAAGGAACCAAGTGACCAGCCTAAAACCCACCACACCCTGGTAGTGCTGCCGCTGTTTGCTCGCGACTGCTTATTCGTTGGGGTGTAACACAACTTATTCACAGCTAACCTTCTTCGATGAAGATATCCCTCCATCCACAACCCGGGGACGCGCTTGGTAGCATTCAGCTCTGCTTAACCCGAAGGTATCCAATATTTTATGAGAACGGGGAACCGGCCATACCTATGCGAAGAAGTTAAATCCGCCACCAACAGTTGCACTATTTGTGCTGAACTGAAACCACGATTTTGTTCACTACCTACTGGCTACCTTATCGAGGCTATATCCCTGTTGAATTTTGATTCCAAGAGTCAAATCACCTCAGCGTCAAAAAATCGGTATCTACAAACCGTTATCGACGAATATCACTGATTTCCCTTCGCCTTTGCAGGCGTTGACTAAAACCGTATCCACATTTATCCGGTGCTTCAAGCAGATCTCCATTTTCGGTCTGCCATCCAACGTATATTCCGATCGGGATTCATTTTCATGTCAGGCGAATTAAAGATCTTCCTTCACAATGAGGGAATAATCACAACGACAGAATACAATAACCCGGTGGGGAGAATGAACGACACACTGGAAATCAAATCACGAGCTCTCACTACCAGTTAGTAGGAATATCATTACATTTTCACACGCTTCGGTTCAAACTGCCAGACAAATTATGGTACAATAATCTTTATAGAAAGAAAAGGGTCCATGATTTGCTCGAGGGTATGATACTGTTAGGTTATCTAGGCCAAAGGAGGTGAATTTTCTTAGTGAGTTCACAAGCGGAGCCTTCGTTTAGCCGAAGCCTGACCCGCAAGGTAGCGGGGCGGTGTGAAAACCGCAATCCATTGGGGACCGGTGTCCAGTTCATCGGATCATATGCATTTTCTTTGAGATCAAACGTCCTCAATATCCAGTCGAGCTGGTGACCTTTGCATCATCATCATCATCATCATCAACAGCGAGATACATTTAAGTGAACTTCACCGATCGCTGCAAAGCTCTCGGTATACACGTGATAGGGTTTGTGTCTAAATGGAGGGCGGGAAAGTGAACCGTTATGGTCAACACCGAGTGCATAACCTAACTGTGCATACCTTTTTGAGCAATATGACCTAAGACATGACACGAACGCCACTGCTGTCGGTTCGCTGCCACATCCTTCGATGTCTCCAACCAATTAGTTGTAGAGCCTATCGGACCCCAACCTGGAATGTGCGAGAGACCAACTGTACCTAATAGCTCTGTGTTTCTTCACGCCTCTTGGTTTCCCCCGGACCTGAAGAATGAGCTGCGATCAAGTCGCGATGAGGTAGACGACAGGTGGGTATGCCCAATACGTGTCCTAACCAGCGAAGCCTACTCAACTGATTTCGATGAGATAACAAATTTATCCCCGATAAACTCAGGCAAACGACGACTTCCC